CGATAAAATCATACTAACGGATAACTTCTCTCACAGCCTGAGAGGCCATGCTCTTCTTGTCTTTCGTCCAAAATGACGCAGCATCACGCTGCATGAATTATGTGCTCATGAAAAATTGATTGGATTCGTATTAATATTAAATAACCATTTGACATGAAAAATTAGGAATATTAATGTGTCGTTTCGTGTGGGTTTATATATCATGTCTAAGTTGTGCTGTCTTAAAATTTGTTTAATTCATGTCCAACCCATATATAAGTGTATATAGTCGGGTGGGTTCATATAGTGAGTTTGTGTCGTGTATATGACGTATTTAGTGAATTTGTGTCGTTTTTAGCTAGATCCATGTCGTGTTTAGTCGAATCTATTCGTTTATCACTCGACACACCAAGAATAAATTAAAATCCACTAATTACATGTCAATTATGTGTCAATGAGTCATGTGATCCCCTCTGGTTTCTGAAATTCAGATTTTGTTGGTACAAGGTTTTAAGAATATTCAAATTTTCGATTAGTCGCAATTTCCTACCCTACCCAACCCTATTAAACAGCTAGCCAAAATAATCGGGTAGGAATGCGGAAGAGCTTTTGGTCTTCCGATAAAATCGGGTAGGAAAGCGGAATAGACATTAATTTTCGTATTCCTACCCTACCTTATCCGCATTAATTTATATATATATATATAAACTAAAAACCATAATTCCCTAACCATATGGTTTAAACTTAAAATAATTGTTACTGTATTTGTGCAACAATTATGATTTATTGATGTTTATGCTTTCTTATGTTTTATTGTAATTGTTGTTATAATTATTTTAGATTTTAGTGTTATTGATTTATTGTGTTGTTAAATTGGTGCATGTTTTTTAATTAAATTGTTAAAATGATCCACAAATTAATAACTACAAAAGTGTTCAGATGATTTCCTATTTGATTAATTTGACCGGAAGTTAGGTAAGAATACCACACTTGATCGGGTAAGGTAGGCCAAGAAAAAATTCTTCCACAAAAGATAGGGTAAGAAGACAAAAAACTATATTTTTTACCCGTAAGGTAGGGTGAACACCTGACTTTATAATTCGAGGAATTTTAAAAAAGTCAGAACGTTGAACAATAATAGAGTAGTTTTCAATCTAGCTTTCAAGTTGTGCATTTTGATAAATAAATTAGACATATGAGAAGACATGTTAGTCAAAGATTCATTATCTCATATGATGAAACCAAACAATTGTATTGTTTGGAGGTGCTTAGCTGACTTAGCATAAAGCAGGCAGCTAGTGCTACAATTTTTTAGCAATGCTATTAAAATTTAATTTATTGATCTAATTTGTTATGATCATTGAATTACCGTATAATCCATCATATATTAAAACTCGATGTTAATGCAACATTTATAATACAGTCACATCATTAGGTTAGTATGTTATATGAAATTTTTAGGTCTTAATAGCATTACTCATTTTTATTTCTCTTTCACACTACACACCAAATGAACCACATTTATTTCACTGCATCTCGATCACTCCATGTACGCGATGCCCCAGTGCGCTCCTACTTGGGGTCCTCCTTTTTCTCTCTAAACCTCTTCCGCGAGACCTTTGTCACGGTGCCCCATAAAAGAAATCCACATAGTTTTGATTCTTCAACCACTAATTTATATGTCCTGTTGGTTTTACATAGTAAATAATTAATATAAATAATAATTGTTGTAAAATAAGAATTCAATAGGAAAATAATAAAAAAAATGACACAAAAATCTAACTGTGATTTATATAACGTACTCACTTTGATATAATGTACTTACATTTATAGACCAAAAATTTACGTCGATGTATTGTATCATAAGAAAATTGGTTATCCGTTAACTGATTATATAATACACACTATTACTTATAAAAATAAAATACTATAATTCAACCATATTTAGATACAACTTGAATTTTATATTTCAGTTGACTTCTCATTTGAAATTTGCCAAGCTTTATCTGCTTGCCAGTGCCTTAAAGTATGTCAGGCCAGAAAAGTCAATAATTATTTTATCAAATAAGGGAGCATTTGAGAGGATTTGATTGTGAAAGTAAAATTTTTTTAATTATGGTGAAATTACAATATAGATCAACTCTAAGTTCATACATACTCGTTTTAATTATGAAATATAATCAAATTATCTTTTTTAGGCGAACTATCAGGTGACCAATCTTTTTTTTGTAAGTTCATTTTCATTAATACTTGAGTTAATCTGTAATTTTATTTGAAAAATGGAAACAATCGTTAGACCCAATAGAATTAGCCGTTGGATTAGTGGGAGAAATTGTATTTATTTTAAATTAAGGGAAAGTCCTTACAGTAAGAATCTGTAATTTTTTAAAAGAAATGGAAGTTGTCAGCTCAACAGGTATATTCTATTGGATAACGGGCAGGCTAATGAGCTTCTTAACGGGTACCCACTGGGCTAGCGGGCTACCCGTCCTTGGTTCCCAACAACTGGGTTTCAAATAGGTTGTGAACTCTAGGCTTTGAACCCATGCTTTCTCCACCATGGTGGTCCCGAGCAGTAAACTTGCATTGGGTGCAGCCATGCAATTTGGAAAGACTTGCAAAGTGAGGCATTTGGGGTGACAATGGTTGCAAGAAAGTGTGTGTGTGTGTTGTGTGTGGAGATAGTGAGGGATTATGTGGATGGCATTTGCCAATTTTTTCAATGCCTATTGAATTTGCCTATTTGTTTTTGGCCACCTAGTCAATTTCTGTTACAGCTATCTCTAGTGCATTCTTTTGGATTTGCTTTATTCTAGGATGAAATTATCAAGTTTCTTCTTCCATAAGCTCGGTTCTGGCAATTTTTTTCAGCCGTTATGCGATTAGATGGCTTTGAACTCCTGAAAACAGTGGCAGGTTGCGAGGGGGATTGCAGCAGCGGAAGTGAAAAGTCTCGTAGTGTATAGGCTCAACTTCCAGACGGTGTTGATACCAATGGCAGGAGAATAAGGCAAAGGACCTAAAAGTTGGATGTAAGAAACCGATGATTGTTGTTTTTAGTATAATGAAGATGACTGTACTGAGGAAACATGTAAAGTTGTGACAAATAATAGACAATATTACACTAATTTCATGAATAACGCTTGTGTAATGAATACTAATTTCATTTTCAGGTTAGTGTCAACATGAATATTTAGTCGTGTCAATTTCAGGTAATGCCGGTTGAACCTCAACACCATCTATTTATATTGTGTTCGTGTATCAGGTAATAATTGATTTCAACCCATTTTATTTTTGTCGAACTTGAGTTATGTCGTTATGTTGAGTCAGAAATTGTCATCCTTACCTCCTTGGTATCGAGTCATATTCCTGTTTTACACAGCAAACCCCATTTATCTAGCCTCATATGAAAAATGTTTACTGTTTTTTATTTCTTGATTTGCTATTGTACAAATCTTTTTAAAATTAGAGGATTTTTATTTGGTTTTCAAGCATTTACACCAAATCGTTTTTTCATTCACGGAGATCCACAAGTGGTGAAAAAAATAGGTCTTAGTCTTCACATTTTAGCTCACGAGTTATGTAAGATGATTTGAGAATAACACAATAATACAATTAAGGGTTAATCTCATTTTGCACCCCGAAAGATCGTTCGAATCTTAATTTACATCCCCAAAGATCAAAAATTTCAATTTACACCCTCAAAGATAGAAATTTGTATCAATGTACACCCCCAAATATCAAAAATCTCAATTTGCACCCTCAAAGATAGAAATCTGTATCAATGTGCACCTAAAACTAAATTGATAAATTATACCTAGATCCCCTCATATTTGTCACTTAATCATTTGAACCCCTTCACATTTAGAATATTACCCCTACATCTCATGACATTTGTACATGTGTAAACATAACCACTTTTCGTTGATATCTATTAATATAATTGTTAAAAAATATGATTTTATCCTAATAAAAAATTATAATTTCATATTACCCTCAATATACTCTAAAGTTCAAAATCAAACTTATCATTTGAATGTCTAATAGAATGTAGATATTTATAAAAAGGAAAATATGAAAAACATTATATAAATATTTACATTTTATTAGACATTCAAAAGGTAAGTTTGATTTTGAACTTTAGAATATATTGGACTCATAAAATAAGGATAATATGAAATTATAATTTTTTATTAGAATAAAATTATATTTTTTAACGGTTATATTAATAGATATCAATAAAAATGAGTTACATGTTGTACGTGCATAAATGTCATGAGATGTAGGAGTAATATTCTAAATGTAAAGAGGTCCAAATGATTAAGTGACAAACATGAGGGGATCTAGGTATAATTTATCAATTTAGTTTTAGGTGCATAATGATACAAATTTCTATATTTGAGAGTGTAAATTGAGATTTTTTATCTTTGGGGTGCACATTGATATAAATTTCTATCTTTGAAGGTACAAATTGAGATTTTTGATTTTTGGGGTGTACATTGATACAAATTTCTATCTTTGAGGGTGCAAATTGAGATTTTTGATCTTTAGGGGTGCACATTGATACAAATTTTTATCTTTGAGGGTACAAATTGAAATTTTTGCTCTTTGAGCGTGCAAATTGAGATTCGAACTATTTTTCGGGGTGTAAAATGAGATTAACCCTACAATTAATAAATAAATTGAATTGGTATGATCTCGATGCTAACTCGAACTGTCACGGTCCGAACGCGACATGTCCTAGGTCATTAGTAAAACCCAATGGCAGCATAATCCATTCTTTGGCCAGACACCGGTTATGACTTTATGATGTCAAGACCCCAATCTCCAAACCAGCACTGCCACTAACTACCCGAAATCAGGATTTTGTTATCCAAACCAAAATCCTTGTCAAACCATCAAACATATGCCACATACTACACCACTGTGTTGTCAAGTATACCCATTTATCCACGTCCACACTAACCCATGGCACCAAATCTGCTGCCTCTTCAATCTCACAGAGTGAGCAAAATAGGCAAATGGAAATAGCTACTCAGTCCCTTTCCTATGCCAACCTTCCAAGGCTTCCAACCTTCTCTTCTTCTCTCTCTCCTCCCATTTTTCACTCTAAATCTTCTGTTGTTGCTTATCATTCTGTCACCTATTTGGGTTTTGATTGCTTACCCAGAAAGCTGAAACGCAGTGGAAGGCTACACAGGCAATTTGGAGCTATACGTGCTTCTGGTGGTGAAAGCACTTCAACAAATGATGCAGAAAGATGGCTTCTTGAACCTGTGGGTCAGTAGATCAAATATACCCAGAGATACAAACAATTTCTTTAATTTCTTTGTTTCTAAATTTGGGTTTTATTTCCATATTTTGTAACCAACAGAGCAAAAGTGATAAATCTCTAGCAAACATGAATTTTTATAGGTAGAGAAGTTGATTGAGTATTGAGTACGATCTTTCTGCTTTATATATGCTTGCTGATATCATGTGAGATTGATTATGTTCATGAACTGGAAGAAGAAAAGGAGAAATCTCTGCCTGCAATGTTAATCCCATCAAAATTTGGATTTTGCACACTGCTACACCACCAATCATATTTTGTTTTGTTGTTGGGAGAATTATACTTTGACCCTCACAACTATCTCACATTGTCCACTTAAACTACTTAAATTGGTTTTTTATTGTCCTAAACCCAAAACTTTGTTATGTTTTGAATGGAATTTTGCGGCAAAGTGAAATAAGCTCACATTAGATTGAGTGACAAAGTCACACTTCATGTCTCATTCTGTAACAGACATCTATCATTGGGGAAACGTGAATTGAATGTACTGTATCAGAAACATGATAGTTGAGGAATAATGTGAAGGGGTTATAGTTGAGGAGGCCAAATTCGAAAATGCCCTTTAAAATTGTTCTATCCTACTGGCTCAGACTGATAATATGATACTCTATGGTCTATCATCATCAAAATGGCAACTCCTTCATTTTCTTATTGTCTTAATACGTTTATTTATGTTGTTTAAGTAATGATGACAGTTAATCTACCTCTATGGATGAATAATGAATAGGTGATGGTGATTCAAGGCACATAGGTTTTAAAGTTCCAATGCCAGATGCATTTGAAATAACTTCTGTAAGTACTTCTTGTGCCACCTATTATTGATTCCCTTACACCGTAAAATGTATTACTCTTAACTGCAAAAGTTTTTACATGCTCTAGAGTGTGGTGACTGTTGGGCGTGTGCCTGAGAAAGCAGACTTGGTCATTCCTGTAGCAACAGGTATGTAAATCTTCATTACTATAGATTCTTGATGTGCTTCTTTTCTACAGGCATGCTACATAATATTAGATCATTGTCAAGAAATGGTGCTCAAACCGTTGGATACTTTTGCACATTTGGTTAGGTTCAATGGTTAAAAAGTTACACAAGAGGGTTACAAGTGTCTAGTACTTTTTTGACCTGAATTCTGTCCTACATCTAAGAATGGGTTGGTGGTATACCATTTGATTTTCCATTCCTTGCTGAAAACTGTAAAGGATAAATTTGTTCAAACGAACCTTTTATTAGGCTCAGATGTCCATTTAGTGCTTCTGGACCAGGAATTGAGATTTTGCATGTTCGCCTATGTATTCATATAGATTTCCTTTTACTTCTCCCCGTCTTAAAACAGTATCTGCTATGCATGCCCGCATTCAGAAGAAGGAAGAAATTCTTTTAGTCACAGATTTGGACAGCACGAATGGGACATTCATTGATGACAGACGCCGTAGACCTGGTGTTGATACCGCTGCATCACCTGGAACTTGTATTACATTTGGTAACATGTTTCTAACCCAATTTCCATCCATCTTTTTAGATTCTGCTTTTGGGTGGCTTATATTGCTTGCATGGACTACAATTTTATTGTGCAAAACTTGGTTGACAACTGAAGATGACAAAAATAAAAGAATATGCTAGAATAGCTGAAGATGTATATATGCTTATGACATTATTGTGAATTAGATATGAATTACAATGGGTTAGAAGTTGCCAGATAATTTTAGCAACTGTGCACATATTACATTATTTTAATTTTTCGCTTCTGTTTTCTCGACATAGCAATGATGCAAAAGAGGCAAAACATGTTCTACTTTTGTAGAAACTTTTTGACTTATAGAGAAAATAAAAGAAAAAAACATTACTAGTTTTGTGAATTAAATATGAATTACAATGGGTAAGAACTTAGAACTGACCAGATAATTTTAGCAACTTTACACATATTACTCTGTCCTTTATAGGGCAAGTATCTGCCCCATTTCCCACACTGCTCACAATGCACAAGAATTTACCTTGCCTCATTCCTATTATCTAATGCTAGAAGGGAACTAAACCCTTTTGCCATGAGCTACGCCTAAACAACCGGAGTGATTTGGTGCAAAAACACTTCCTCTGTATTTTTTCCTCAACAATTTGCACATTACACTAAGGAACCTTGCAGCAACCTTGTGTCCTTCAAATGTTAGCTTGAAGCTTGATCATCAAAGTTGATTTGAGCGCATCGTAATGTTCATTGGAGAGTTTTGATTGCCATGCCATGCTGATGCACCTCATTTTAGCCTCTCCAGATTAGATAAAATTACAAACCTATTCGAATTTATCTATGCACGACATTAAAGTGTGCTTAAACTGCAATTTGTGCTAATGTGAACACTAAAATTATTTCTTCCAAAAGTCAAGTACATTACATATATGCCAAGAATCAAAGTGGCCATCTTATTTTGCTGAAATGTATCATCTCGTTGCCAGGCGATACACATCTAGCGATGTTCCGGGTTTCAAAGCTTGAGAATGCAAAGGTTTCTGCAGAATCAGAGGGTCCTGAATCTAAGGCGGAGATTGGAGATCCAAATTCAGAAAGTAGAAGCTAAAATCGTCAATGTTTTTTTGAAACAAAAGAAGAACTGAATAAATGCAAATTCCATAGGAGTAATATGAGCTAATATTTCTGAGGTAGGGACTTGTGAGAAAGATTGTACATCTTTTGTGTGAAAACTGATAGGGGTGTATGGGGATAGAATGTTTGAGCAAGAGAAAATCTGTTGCCATTTGTTTTATAACTTGGTTGTTCAGCAAATAGTCTCTTTGTTGATGCACAATACCCCCATTATGGTGTAAGCTATCTTGTGCTTTATATGGCCTGCAAGTTTATTCCACAATCATAGCCACAATGTTCACCCAATCCTTCTCCTTTGATCTGTCACATTCCTACATTTAATCGGTGTTGTGGCTGGGGCATTTCTACAAGATCATATCAGTTGTGTACAATGAAATATGTGTGAGAGTACGTGCATGCTACTACTGTTCGATATGGCGTTATCTTGATATGTCTTCATCTTGAGATGCACACTGGACTGATTGTCCTATTACTCTATACTTAAGTTTTGGATACAACAGTTTTTTGGGATCAAATTTGATGTTACAGACTTCCAAAGAAGTAGCCCATTGTTGCTTAGAAACAGAGTACCTCTCCATGGCTGCTGCTACCACTGAGGTAACATGGACTACTTGAAGTATTGGTATTATGGTGGAAATGCTACTTGCTTTCTTTTGCGACAATTAAGAAAATGGTTTCAGAACACTCTTGAAGAGCTTTGTTCGGTTAGGATTCTCTCCTCTGTATCTTCCTTAATTCCTTCGATGCTAGATCACCCACCATATCTTAGTGAGAGACCCACTCGTAAAGTTGGTCCCGATAGGATTCATGTAGATGACTAGCATTGAGGGAATTTAGTGATGAAGTGAATTTGAGTCCAGAGTTGTTTTATCTGATAATCAGCCAGTAGATGTCCTACTTAAGCCACTTTCTCCAACAAAATAGATGAATATGGAGGAATCTAATTCTCTATCATGGGATTCTTTGCTTGAAGCTCTCCCAACCATGGAGAAGGAAAAGTATTTAAATGCAAAGAAGCATCAAGAACCAAAAAGGGTAATTTTTATATTTTTTTTATGTACAACGATATATCTAGTCTAATTGTAAAAGAAAATAATACAGAAATCACTAAATGATTAAAGAGACTTGTCATATCAATACACTATAGATGAGAACCTCATTAACTACTCAAACAAACTAAAGCAATAGCTATTGGAATAGGGGATCCATTAGTTTACTTAGTAGAAAAAGCAATACAACTCTCACACTATAATAAGAATACCATTCTTTTCTCCTGTTAGGGTTAAAGATAAATAAACACTTGCTTTTGCTTCTATTCTGAATTGATTACACCCCTTTACCCTTTGTCTTCCAAACTGTTGCATATATTCATGAGGAAGTATCTTACTTCCAACCCTACCTATTCTAATGACAAAACTACATTTTTTTTAACTTTTCTTATTACTTTACTTGATTCATGTCCCCAAGTTTATTCCTGAAAAGATTTTGAAATTTGACCAATTCAATATAAGCTCCGAATTTGAGTCAAGTTTATTCCAAAAAAGATTTTGAAATTTGAGTCAATGCAAATTTTTTACTCCAACATTGATTCAAATTTGGGTCGACATGAACAATATTTGTATTTAATACAAAACGCTTCAATAGATAAATTCACATTTAAAGAAACACAAATCTAAATTTAAAGAAGGGTGAAATATGATTATTGAATTTTTTAAAAAATGAAATTTGACCATTAAAATTTTGAATAAAGATTTAAATTTTCCTTAATGAGTTTATCTTCATTTAGTATGAGTTTAAATAAAATATTAATTACAAATTACACCCTAAAAGATCGTTTGAATCTCAATTTGTACCTTCAAAGATCAATAATTTTAATTTGCACGCTCAAAGATAGAAATTTGTATCAATGTACACTTAAAACTAATAACCATCAATTTGCTATCTAAAACTAATTAGATAAATTATACCTAAATCTCTTATGTTTATCACTTAATCATTTGGACTCCTCACATTTAGAATATTACTTTTATACTTCTTGACGTTTGTGCACGTATAACACATAACCCCTTGTTGTTGATATTTGTTAGTAATAGTATAATTGTAAAAAAATATGATTTCTTCCTAATAAAAAATTATAATTTCATACTACACTTTATTTTGTAGACCAATTATACTTTAAATTTTAAAATCAAGTTTACCATTTGAATGTCAATATAATGTAGATAGTTATAAAATATTCTTTATATCTAATGCAATACATCACTTAAACAAAATTATTTGAATGCCCAATTGGGGAACTTTTTTAGTCATATTTGGATTCTCAAGGGATGTAAGTATAATATTTCAAATGTGAGGAGTCTAGATGATTAAGTAATAAATATGAGAAGGTCTGGATATAATTTATCCATTTAGTTTTAGACGACAAACTGATGGGTTGCTAGCTTGAGGTGCGCATTAATACAAATTCTATATTTGAGGGTGTAAATTGAAATTTTTTATTTTTAGAGGTGTAAATTGAGATTCGAATAATCTTTCGAGATATAATTTGAGATTAACCCTTAAATAAAAGATTGGAATTTATTTTTACCATATTTTTACTTAAATTTAAATTTAAGTTAAGATTTGAATAAACGTTAAATTTCTTCACATAGAAGCTGACAAACCCAAATTCAGACTAAACTTGTGCCCAATTTCTGAGTTAAGCCCAAACCATCAAAAGACAGACTAGGTTTAGTTCATGACCTAAGTCCAGTTTAGAGCTTAAGAGTCCAAGAAGAGTCAACGCACGTGAGAAAACAATCATTAGGATAGTCATGACTCCAAGATAATGTCAATTCCCAATTGTAGTTGTCTTCCCCGGTAAACTAGTACCTTGACATTCACGACACTGCCTCAACTAGGATTTTGTGCCTATAAATTATAAACTCCCTACATATAAAGAGGGATCTCACACACCTCACCTTGAGCGTACCATTGCACGCTCTCTCTCTCTCTCTCTCCCCCACTACCTTGTACTATCTCATTTATAAAGTTCTATAGTTGTCGTTGTTGTCTTCAGTGGTTAGGTCCCCACACCAACCACCTAATATTTGTCTTTTATTATTAACTGTTTCATTAATTGCTCTGTAACACATACTCGACTGATTTGATGGAACATAAATTCGCATTTGTGCATCATCAGAAGCAATAATG